CCTAGCCAGGGAGAAGCTCAAGGTACAGAGCTATCAATCATTTTACATATCATGGTTCCCATGGAATCACCTTGCCTCTCCAAGCTTTCACAGAGCACTTCTGTCTGCTTCTCTATTTCCTACAAAGCAGTTCTTCCACATAGAGGATGCAAAGGAACAGTTGATATTTTGGTGAGGCAATTTTCCAGACACGTAGCCCCTTCCCAGAAAGTTGCCATGCTCTGATAATTTTCAGTAGGTCACCATCGTCCCATGCAGATTGCCCAGGACCATCAATGCTGCCTCCAGCACAGCTGCAGCTGGGGATTGTGAAGGGCTGTGGAGGGGGAGAATTGAGGGTTTTTGCATGAGTCTGTGTTACAGTGTTGGGTGTTCGGTGGAGGGACCAGGCTGACCGTCCTAGGTAAGTGAACTCTTTCCCCTTCTTTCCTGTTCTCCTCTGGTTTGAGAAAATATTTTGCTGCTTTCATTTTTGTCCTTTATCCTGTAGCTGCTTGGGTACATTTATTCTCCCTGGATCTTTATTCAGCAGACTGAATTCTTCCCTCACTCTTCAAATCCTGTCTGCTTGCCTCAAGCTTGTCAATAAAAAAACCCCTTTCTCTTCTGACCAAAAAGAGGCAGAGGACTGAAGCAAATGAACTAGTAAGACTGAACTTTATTTGTCCCTGTATGTGATCTTCTTTAACCGGGCATGTTATCTCTCTAATGTACTCCGCTCTGTCATGCTTCTCTGAAAACTGAAATGTTTATGCTCTCTGCTGGGCTTCCTGAGAGGTTAAATTGAGATTGCATTTCATGGAGAATAGGGACTTGGGAAATGAAGGAGTGACAGTGTATGAATTTGGAAAGACAGAGAACAATCACCACTAAGGCCAGGAACCACGTATGAGAGTGTCAGACCTGTTCCCATTAGGTTTTTGGTCAAGGGTCCAGGAGAAGAGAAAAGGGAGGAGGGGAAAAGTTGTCCTTAAGCCTCCATCCACAGCCATGGACAGAGCAGGCATCCAACCTGGGACTCAGGAAACTTGCAATGGAGCAGGCAAGAGAAGGCTCTGGTAGAGATCAGAGGAGTGACTGAAGGACAGGGTAGGACAGGGGGTCTCTTGGTTCTCTGCAGCACACACAGCTCAGAAGCACACATCTTTGAGATTACAGATGAGCAGGTGGCAGTGCAGAAAACCTAGAGATCAGGCTTATGGAGAGGGTTCCCTAAACTATTTTTGCTGAGGGAGAGCATACACAGGTCAGGAACACATGATCAGCAAAGGCACAGACCCCTTTTCAGAAGCTTACCAGAGCACATTTGGAATAAACATACTGCTTACACTAAAAACTAATGCCCTAGTGCAGATGTCAGAACTGTACCGAGAAGGGAACACACAAGAGTCATAGACAGCTCAGAGGACAGAAAGATTACAGATAGACTGGAAATGATGTAGGGATGAGCCAAGGTGTGAAGATAAGTCATGTTTGTGAGAGGATAAAATCTGGAAAGGCCCTAGGAGAGGTGATGCTCTGTGTCCAGGTTCATAAACCCCTGGCACATAGGGGATACTTGGAGCAACTCCCCAACCTACACTCTGCCTCATGAGTGCTCAAATAAGAATGCCTATGAAAAGGGCTCCACCTGAGCCTAAGAACCCAAATCCCTTATCTCATAACAGTTCAGAGGCTCCAAGGTGGACAGGACAACTCTAACCAATTCTTATCTCTCACACTGTAGGTCAGCCCAAGGCTACTCCCTGAGTCACTCTCTTCCCACCCTCCTCTGAGGAGCTCCAGGCCAAAAAGGCCACACTGGTGTGTCTAATGAGTGACTTCTACCCCAGTGATGTGACTGTGGCCTGGAAGCCAGACGGCACTCCTGTCACTCAGATTGTGGAGACCACCAGGCCTTCCAAACAAACAACCAACAAGTTTATGGCCAGCTTCTACCTGACCCTGACACCCAACCAATGGAACTCTCACAGTATCTTCATCTGCCAGATCACGCATGATAGGAATATTGTTGAGAAGAGCATGTCCCCTGGAGAATGTTCCTAGATTATTGACCCTCACCCATCATCAGTGTCTGGTGCTTTAGAATCCAGGCAGTAGTGCCCTTCTCCCCTAGGCATCTCAGCCCTTCTCTATGTACTCAATAAATTCTTAAACTGTCCTCATTCTCAATCAGAAAATATAGTCTTTGCTCATTTTAGTTTACAAACATTCCATCCTAAATTTTTCCATGCCCCCAAATGAATACAGTCATGGACCTCGAGTCAGTGCCAGGTAAATACTTCTGATGTTTCCATGAAGGATATTTCACTCACACCCTAACCCACAGGACATCCCAGAACAAGAAAATGACCCTCAGCAGAGCACAGCCTGAAAACTTTTACCCTCTTCCCATGTACTTTTTTCTCTTGTGTGACCATGTCCACCACCCTCTCCCAGTGTTCATCCCTCCTTGGTTGCCCTTGACCTCCCAGAGAAAGTCTGATCTCCTTTACCTCGAACCTGCAGCCTTCACAGAATGGACATTGTCCCTCTCTCATGATGTCCTTCCATCCCAGTACTAATTTTCATCCTTTAGCCCATACCTTCTTTGTCTCCCTTAACCCATCTATAAATCCCTGACTTCACACATTAAAGATCCCCTCTTCATTCCAGACACATCCTGCTCCATACTCACCAAGGGCGTCCACATCAGCCAATAAGGCCTTCTCTATAGCACTTCTCACAGAATATTCACCATCTGGAATCTGATCACTAACCTTAACTCCCAATTACGTGCCCTGGACTACATGTGTCCTTCTTTTCCTACCTTCATTCAAGGCCCCTGAGGGTCAGAAGGCAGCTCTAATCTTAACTGACCTACCATAAGTGCCCATTGTCTATGTGTCCTTTGGTTGTAAATAAGGCTGGTGAGTTCAAAGTCAGAAGCCTGATACTCGAATTCTTCTATGGAATTTTGTGCAACCTGACTCACCTTCTTAACAATAAATTTTGGAATCTGAACCATTGTGCAAACACATACACCTATGCATGCACGTAATACTCACATACAGAAACATATGCATGAACAAACACACCTGCACAAACAAAATGTACACAAAACACTATCCATTTACAACCTTGCCATGGTGAGCATGGCAGGGGCTGCAGCAAGTCCCTTGTGTGGTCATGAGCAAAGATAATCAAGGCCCTGCAGTCCAGAGCTGTGGGCCTTCAAGGCAGAGCACTGATAATGAGAAAAGGTTGGCACTTTCAAATCTTGCCAACAGTGACACAGGAGACAAGCTGGGGGCTATGGAAGTAAGTTGCTCAGAGACAATCAGGTCAAGCTCAAAGGACTGGGGAGGGGATTGCTCAAGGGGACATTGAAGATGAGTACAGGCTGCCAGGTATATTATTTAGTTGTGAGCTCTGCTGGTGATAGACCAGGACGAGAATGCACATTAAGGCCCTGGTGTCCTTACCCCACTCTCTATATGTCCTTCTAGTGTGAGATGTAGTGTGGGTCACTAGGATATGAGTGCACCCTGTACTGGTGACAGCTGTGAATACAGGTTTTGCTGCTATATGTGTTCACACAGGAGACAGTGGGGCTTGTGTACACAAGAGTACCCAAATAAAGTCTGGAGGACAGTGGAGACTCCCATAATCAGAGCTCATAAAAGAGCAGCAAGCAATACATACCACCAACCCTCAAAGGAGTCTTCTTGGGCCATCCCAGTTCTGACTCAACATCCCCCCCATGAAAGTTGGGTATTTCCCCAAATATTCAGAAGGGTAACTGGCAAAGTGACACCAAACACTGCACCTTCAGGACAGATAAGACATGAAGAGGGCCCCTTGAGCTCAGGACCCTGAAAAGGGGGTCTGGATCCTGGTATAAAATGACAATCTCCCCTTACACTGTCCCCATTCCCATACTGAACCCTATTTCTGGCACTACCTCCTGTGCTGAGGATATGGGAACATCTAGGACCCTCTCCACAAGTCCGAGATGAACACAGGGAACCTAGATCCAAGATCTCTGTGTTAAAAACAAGCACATCTCCTTTCCTCCTTCTTCTACTCCTCTATGATATTCCTGACAATATTGATTCAGACCACTCAGCTCCCTCCCTGCAATTCCATTATCAGGAAAGGAAGATTCAACACAGAGACATTCTTCCCCAAATCCATCCATGACTCAGGATGGAGATTTTCCACAAATGCCAAAGAAATGATCCAGGTCATGCAGGGGTGACTGTCTCTTAGCCACCTGTGACCTGAGCAGTCCCCATGAAAGAAAACTGGACCCCAGCTCTCCTGTGCTGCTGCAGAAGGGCCTGGGTTGTGGTGCAAAAAGGGGTTTGTGTGTGAGTCTGTGTCACTGTGTTATGTGTTTGGCAGAGGAACCCAAATGACTGTCCTCGGTGAGTCTCCCCAACTCCCTCTTCATTGGAGTCCAGGGTAAAATTTGGGTGGATTTTTCTCTACTTTTGCTCCTGTCCAGGACTGAAGTTTTAACCTGTCTTTAGTCTGTAAGCTTCACCCCTCTTCCCTCCAATCTGTCCTTATTCTGAGGCATGTATCTGACTGGGCAGGAGAGGACAAACCCAAGGACTCCTTTACTACTCTCTTCTGGGGACTTTCTCTGGACTCGGGGGCCAGAAATCTTCTCAAAGGGTCCTAATGCTCTAGACTCTGGGATGTCAGCTCCTTCTCTTGCAGAGTCTCTGAGCCTCAGGGCCAAGAGGAACCAAGGAGGGGCTCTAGATGGGGTTCAGGGAATGTGGGATATGCAGAGGCAATTATGAAGTGCTCATCATTTTGGTGACTGTCCTCCATGGTCCCAACTATGGGGCTGCTTTCAGCACAGTGAAGAGAGCCCTTGGACTTTGGAATTGGAGAGGTGGAAGAGGAAATAGGGAAGGAGACAAGGAAGAGGAAACATTCTCTATGTGGAGCTGGACCCAGATGCTGGGTCTTTCCTCCTCCCCCAGGACAGACAGGACACCTTAGATATGGCGGGGTTCGGACTCACAGGCCCAAGGTGGGCATCTCCCCATCCAACACCTGAAAGGAGGGAGTCCTGATAGAAATAGATGACAAGGATCTGTCTGGACAGGAAAGGCTTCTAGTACTAAAAGATCTCCTAAAAGATAATGAGAGCCACAGAAGAGTCACAGCCCAGGATCATCCCCAACCCCATGAAAACCTTCATCTGCTGGACACCCTGGGATCCAGCCGCAGGGTCTGACAACCCCACCCTTACAAGGTAAACCAGAGGGGTCTCTATGGGCAAAGGTTTGATGAAGGTGACAAGGGAATGTGTTGGCAGTAAACTGACCAATAAAAGAAAGGAGAAACTGGAACAGCACACCAGACACCCGCATAAAGATCCAGAGGGTGGTATCTGCCAGGAAATGTCCACACAGAGAGATGCCCCCCTGAGGAATGATGAGATCACAGGGCTTTTCCCAGTCAGTGTTGGAGAGGAATGGGTGGGGTAAGTTATGAGGGCAAGTGAGAAGTACTAGAGGTTTCAGGCCAATGGGGACAGGCCTCCCTAAGAGACAGGAACTGGGAGGTTCCCATCAGGTGAGTATCCTAAAACTCCTTGTCTGATTTCAGTCCAACGAGAGCCCCAACTGAGTCTCCAGGACCCACAGCAAGACTGTGGTCAGAAACACTATTACAAATATCAGCCTTCTAACCTCCTTCCTCTCTCTGACTCTGCAGGTCAGGCCAAGGCTGGCCCTCAGTCACCCTATTCCCACCCTCCTCTGAGGAGCTCCAAGCCAATAAAATCACACTGGTCTGTCTGGTGAATGACTTTTACCCGAGTGCTGTGACAGTGGCCTGGAAGGCAGATGGCACCCGAGTCACCCAGGGAGTGGAGACCACCAAGCCCTCCAAACAGAGCAATAACAAGTACATGGCCAGCAGCTACTTGTCTGTGACACCTGGCCAGTGGAATTCTGGCAAGGCATATAGCTGTCATGTCACACATGAAGGCAGCACTGTGGAGAAGAGTGTGTCTTCTTCAGAGTGTTCCTAGGGCCCTGCCCCTCACCCAAACCTCGGAGGCCTACAGCCAAAGGGTGCTGAATTGGGGTCTCCTCTCCAATTCATCACATCCCAGCCCTTCTCTCTGCTCAATAAAATATCCTGTTATCGATCAGAAATCCTGTTCTACCTCATTTGTTCTTATATCATGTTTCATTTACAATCTCCCTGGGGTTTCATGGTGGGGTGTTGGAGTCCTGCCACTTAGTGGGAAAGGGCCAGCCAGCAGGGGCATCCCTTTCATCATTGTTCCAGAAGGGACCTTCTTTCTGATAACCTCTTCTTAACTCTCCACTGGATCCCTGAAACCTTCCATGCAAGCTTACAGTGGATCAGTGTCAAAGGCTCCTCTAATCTACATTCAAGGCCTAATCATGTAATGCCCCCAATTCTAATGTACCATGGAAGAATGCTGGTCAGCACTCTTGACTGAGAGTTGCAGCTAAGGGACAGGGGCAGTTCAAGTGATTTACCGTGTCCCTACCCAACCATCAAGAAGCCAAGGTGATGCCCTGTGCTGATGGGGTCCTGTAGAAAGCTGCTGAGTGGGAAGTTGCTCCTAAAGAACAGTGGAAAGGGAGAATGACCCAGAAATAGCAGGATATGGCTCTGGGAGAGGAGCTTCACAGAAAAAGAAGGGGTCTCAATGAACCTACTGGTGGGCTAGAGGCAGGAACATGGCGTTAAGGAGACCTTAATCCAAGGAGATCTGAAAGGGACACAGCTTGAAATGCTAACATCAGAAGTCATGGAAGCTTTTAGAAAATGAAACACACATTTGAGTTATTTATTCACAATGAACAGTAGCTAGGTAAGATGCTGATATATGCTACAGTAAGAAAATAGTTAACAACATAATCTTATTGCCTTTCCTAGCCTACCCAAGGATCCCTATAAGACTCAAGACACTGGTGTTCATGGCACCTGTCACCATTGTCTTTAGCTCATTAAGGACAAGGTAGCTCCCTTATCCAGAGCTCCTTGGTGGACCAAGTAGCCCAGTTACAGAGCTGGAGAAGTCCTGGGAGCTTAGTTAACAATAGGGATGAGAGAGAGGAATTTCCATGGAGCTTGATCCCAGGCCCAGCAACCGAAATCCTAATATGTGCTTAGAGGAACATTTGAGAATTGAGTCCCACGGCATCTACCTGACTTCCTTTCATAGTGGTGAAATTTGTGACCCAAAGAGGGAGTGGACAACCCTGCTCACCCTTATCTCAACGGCTCTAGTGGGTAAAATACCAGGCTCTACCCATCCCCAGTTTTTGACCAGACTAACATCCTCTTCATTTTGTTATGTGTCTTCATTACTGAAAACTTTGAGCACAAAAACTGAGGAGACAGAGTCATATTAATGTCCCCATCAACCAGCCCCAAATAATTAATTCAACTGATTTTAATCTACCCACAGCAGAGTAACTCCTCCATTATATGACTCTTTGAAGTAAAATCCAGATATCTTATAATTGCATCTTTAAGTAGTTCACGTCTATGTTGGAATGATGAGGATATAGCTACAATATGACTATCATACCTAAACACAAAATATCAGTAACACATTGACATCAAAAAATAATCAGGGCCTCAGCAAATTCCTCTCAAATGATAGGAATGTGTTTACTTAATTATGCCTACAGTGCTGTTGTTATTTATGGCTGTTCCTTAGTGTATAAGAGGATGGCCTGAGGTTTGAAACTGTGATTGTTGTATATATCCTCTGCCTGCTGTCACCTTCCTGAGAGAATTCTCCCTGCCCTTGCCAGGCATGAACTATAGAAGCTGATCTCCTGGTACTGGGATATTCCACATTTTTCATGGCCTCACTGTGCTATCACTGAGGGCCTCTCTCTGCAACTCCTTTTCCTGAATAGTGCTTCATCCATAGAGAGGGTGAAAGTTGCAGGTGACTTATATATAGCAAGGTTATTTCCAAGGAGCGTGGACCCTTTCAAGAAAGGCATCGTGTACTGGTCATCTTTCAATGAGATCACCGTCTTCTGATGCAGGTTGCACAGGTCCATCAGGGCTGCCTCCAGCATAGCTACAGGTGGGAACTGTGGGAGCAGCAGGGGGCAAGGCAGGGAATCTGTATCACAATGTTGAGTGTTCTTTGGAGGGACCAAGTTGAATGTCCTAGGTGAGTGATTCTTTCCCCTTCCTTTACTGCTGTTCCCAAGGTTTGGGATAATTTTCTTCTGTTTTTGCACTTTTTTATATCTTCTCTCAGCCTGGGGTCAAATGTTCTCCTTGTTCTTAACTCCAGGGTGTTGAACAATTCCCTCTAAACAAACCCTCCTACAGTCTCAGCTGGTTACCAGCAACCCTTCACCTCTGAACTACATGATCTACTAAGAGTCAAATATCTGTCTCTGTGGGTGTGTTGTCCCTAATAAGTGTCCTGCTCTGCAGTCTGCAAAAACCTGAAACTAGATCCATGTATATCACCCTATACCAATATTAACTCAAAATGGATCAAGGATCTTAATATCAGACCCCAAACTCTAAAGGTGGTACAGGAAAGAGTAGGAAATACCTTGGAAGTAATAGGTATAGGCAAGGACTTCCTCAATGGAAGTTGCTGAGCTGCTGGGGAGCAGCTCAGAAACTAAGAGAAAGTATAGACAAATGGGACTTCATAAAACTAAAAAGCTTCTGCTCAACAAAAGAAATGCTCTCTAAACTGAGGAGACCATCCACAGAATGGGAGAAAGTACACATCAGACAAAGGACTGATAACCAGAATATACAAGGAACTCAAAAAACTAAACTCTCCAAAAATTAATGAGCCAATAAAGAAATGGGCAAGTGAACTAAACAGAACTTTCTCAAAAGAAGAAATTCAAATGGCCAAAAAACACATGAAAAAATGCTCACCATCTCTAGCCATAAAGAAAATGCAAATTAAAACCATACTAAGATTCCACCTCACCCCTGTTAGAACAGCCAACATTAGCAACACCACTAACAACAGGTGTTGGCGAGGATGCAGGGAAAAGGGAACCCTTTTACACTGCTGGTGGGAATGCAAGCTAGTACAACCACTCTAGAAAAAAATTTGGAGACATCTTAAAAATCTAAACATAGATCTACCATATGATCCAGCAATACCACTCTTGGGGATATACCCAAAAGAATGTGACACAGGTTACTCCAGAGACACTTGCACACCCAGTCTATTGCAGCACTATTCACAATAGCCAAGTTATGGAAACAGTCAAGATGCCCCACCACTGACGAATGGATTAAGAAAATGTGGTATTTATACACAATGAAATTTTATGCAGCCAAGAAGAAGAATAAAATCTTATCATTCGCAAGTAAATGGATAGAACTGGAGAACATCATTCTGAGCAAGGTTAGACTGGCCCAAAAGACCAAAAATAGTACGTTCTCCCTCATATGTGGACATTAGATCAAGGGTAAACACAACAAGGGGATTGGACTTTGATCACATGATAAAAGCGAGAGCACACAAGGGAGGTATGAGGATAGGTAAGACACCCAAAAAACAAGATAGCATTTGTTGCCCTCAATGCAGAGAAACTAATGCAGAAACTTTAAAGCAACAGAGGCCAATAGGAGAAGGGGATCAGGAACTAGAGAAAAGGTTGATTCGAGAAAAATTAATTTAGAAAGTAACGCTTATGTACAGGAAAGCAATGAAAGGAATCTCACACTCTAGCTATCCTTATCTCAAACAGCAAAAACCTCGATTCTACTTATTAATATTTATAATCTCTCTTCAACAAAATTAGAGATAAGGGCAGAACAGTTTTTGCTTGGAGGTGGGGGGGGAGAGGGAGGGGAGAGGGAGGAGGTGGGGGGAGGGGGGGGATAGACGACCCAGACATTGTATGCTAATATGAATAAAAGAAATTTTAAAAAAAGAAATGTTAAATAACATTGTCCACCCAGAAAAAAAAGTGTCCTGCTCTGTCCTTTCTCCATTAGGCTTCTGTCTCACTTTGTGATGGGGTAAACTAAGCTCATGGGAAAGCTGTACAAAGGGTCCTGATGGACAGATAACTAGTAAATTTAGAAAGATCCAGACCACTCAGAATTAAACCTGGGGAACCACATGCCAGAGTCTCAGGACACTTGTGTTCCATGTACTGGTTCATGAAAGTATTCAGCTTCAGGATCTAGGAACATAATAGGCTAGAAGGTAGAAGTTATCCACAAGCCTCTATGGACTGCCACAAATAGATTCTGGAGTTAATCTAGGACTTAGAAAGCTCAGCAAGGAAGAAGAAAGGTGGAGAAGGCTCTGGATGACAGGGAGCCAAAAAAAGGTGATTGAAGGACATAGTCAGGAAGATGAACTCCTGTGGCTCTGCATGACACCCTGCTCAGAAGCATGAGTCTCTGCATTTACATAGGAGCAGGGCCCAATGTAGGAAAACTGTAAATCTGGCCTAGAGACAGGAGACTCTAAATGGACTCTGCTGAAGAAAAAATCCAGATCCACTGCATGAGATCCAAGGGCACAGATTTGGGTGAAAACAGACTGTAGATTAAGAACTACATTCACTAGAGCAGAGGTCTCAGATCAGATCTGTCTCCACAGTGGATTCCACAGGAGTCCCAGAGAGCTCAGAGGTTGAAAGAGGTCACAGGCAGACCTGTTAGGAGGGACAGGGAAGAATATTGAGGTATGAGACGTGTGTGAGGCCATGGCCAGGGAGGTCCCAGGAGAGGCGTTATACAAAGTGTCCAGTCTCGTTCTCTCTACTAAAATGGGCAACAGTTTAGGGAATGCTCCAGTCCATCCTTTGTATCATGAATGCTCACCTTAATTCCTATTAAGGTGGCTCAACCTGGGCCTGAGAGTCCAGAACCTTCCTCACATACTAAGTTCAGGGTCTCCAAGGTGAGCAACAGGCCTCTGACCTCTTTTCTCTGCCCCACCCTGGCAGTCAACCCAAGTCTGCCTCCTCAGCTCTCCTATTCCCACTTTCATCTGAGGAGCTCCAGACCAGCAAAATCATACTG